ATCGGTGGCGAAGGCGGGGAAGCTGAAACTCAATTTCATTTTCCCAGTAACCTACAACTAGTAGTCTGATCTCCTGCTGGTTCCTCCAGCATGGAGGCATCGCCGAACTCTTCTCGAAGCTATCCGGATGGTTCGATCACCAAAATCGTCTATCATAACTTTTTGTGAGTCCTTTATTTTTCTAGGAGTAAAATTACTTCCCAGCATCTGTAGGGCAGCACGTTTCTTGTGGGGACATTATTCGATTATTTCTTTTTATACTCTTATTTTAGAGTCTCATTTGATTGTTGCAGAACTTACGATGACGTTGAGTGCAAACCGGGTCCTAATTTAAATGTGTTCATTGGAACGAATGGAGCCGGAAAGAGTACGGTGATTTGTGGAATTTGTCTCGCCGTTGGTGGTAATCCAAGAATTCTTGGGCGATCGGAACGAATGGGAGATTATATTAAGCATAAACGTGATGAAGGATTCGTAGAAGTATACATGTGAGTGGTTACATGTTCTATTACAGGTGAATTTCCATACGGGAGACCTTTTTATGTGAACCCGTTGTGGTGCGTTCATACTTTGCATCAGCGTTGTGAGCATCTGTCAGAGCTGTGAGGTTTTGAGCACCTACCAGCATTTCGAGCTATCTGGACGACTAACAAAGCATAAATATCGATTATCGCTGAAAACTTTATAAGACGCTCAGAAAGGTCGATCGATGCCTATATTTTCCTAACCACTCGGAACGCTGCCGCAGAGTATGAACGCACTCTCGCATAGGGTCTATTCTCCGGTTTTTTTTACTAATCGGATCACGTCAGTGCTTTAAATGTCTTTCATTTCGAGTAGGTGGATTTTTACAGAGCAGATTCAATCAAAGGAGAGCAGCGGGTTAAAATTGCCCTCCAGCGGCCAAGTAATTGTGCATTCTTCATCAATGGCTCCAAGTCCACTCAACGGGCTGTACGCGATTTTGTCGCTTCGTACAACATTCAGTTGAGCTCTTTTTTCATATTTCACTTTGTAGTAATCAGCTAATCTTTGAGGGAAGGTTCTTAATGTAGTAGTAGTAGTGTAATTGTCCCCCTATTTAGATTGACAACCCGTGCACATTTCTTGCTCAAGATAAAGTAAAGAGCTTCTCAGAGCAGAGTCCCGTGGACCTCCTCATGAATACAGAGAGGGTAAGTTTCATTTTTTTTTATGAACACTTTTCCATCGTTGAATCGCCATTATTGTTCCCGATTTTTTGTTTCCTACAGCGGGGGGTCTTACAGGGTCATGGAGCTCTTTCTTGAAAAGCTTTGCCACATGTTGCAGGGGTGCTAGTGCGGGCCACAAAAGTATAGTCCACCTTTACTGTGTGCTTTTGGGGATGCCCAGAGGTGGTAAAAAATCCATGCAAATTCATGGCAAACTCTGCATTGTTTTCTTTTCGCACTGAGAATTCTGGTGTTTTTGGACTTCTTTGTTTGTGCAAGGTTTGGGCATGTATGTTCTCAAGAAAGTAAAAATAACAAGGATGCGAAGTGTGATCACCTTGGGGATTCAAACCCACTCCCACTATTTTTTTGGCATTTCTAGAAAGACTCAATAAAAGGTAACCTCTTGTGGCCGATGTATCTGCCCTTACAATAGTAAAACGTTTTGAAAGTCTCCCCCCACCCCCCGTGAAAATAAGGTGAGATTTTATTGTAAGTCTTGTTACGGGCGCATTCTGCGATTACTGGAGAGCTGTAATATTTTACGTGTTTAAGTGCACGGAGGCAGATAATGTAAAATTTTCGCTAGTTGGAAGGAAAGAAAGCCTGGACTCGTAACTTGAGGCCACGCTCGCCCGGTTAGGAGAAAATATGTTCACACCTAAACCCGATCTCGCTCGTCTCTCTGCTCTTTCGCCTCTTCGCAGTCTTTTTTCTCGTTTGTGCTCTCAGTGCTTCTCTGTTTGCTCACTGTTTGCTCGGATATTGCTTGGAACCAACGCGTTTTGGACAATTTTTGACATTTTTCTTCCTCGGTGGTGCAGTTGCTCGTACAGATCCATATTCGAGCTCAGCTACCCACGTCGCGCAATGTGTAAGTGCGCCTTTGAAATTGCTACTATATGATTTGTGCTGTATAACTCCAGTATCAATATGCCTTCATGAACTCCTCATTTGGTTCA